TCAGAACAATTATGGGGCTCATCTAAGTTTACACAGGTAGAACATGGCAGAGCTGGGCCTGCTGTCTGGACATCTGCTTTTTCAATTATTATATGCCTACCTCCTCAGATTCTATAAGAAATTATTTAAACAAATGGCCACAAAACACTTGGAAGAGAAGGTGGTAACCCTAGGTGCCAAAATGTGCTGGGTAGACTTGTCTTCAGAAGGGTGTTTTACACAGTCATTAGGAGTGCCATTGGCAGACAGCCTTCATCTGTCAACACTTCAGGGTCTGACACAGCTGGAGAGAGCCACCTTGGCCAAGGTCATGCCCCTTCTTAGCAAGCCCATATTGGAGCACAGATTGATGTAGCAGTATAACGGTTATTCATCTCAGCCCAACTCAGAACAAATGTGAAGGGTCATTTTAGCTCAAGAGTTCCCCAGATGATTAGCTGAGGTTGTTGTTGGACATGCAAAACAGCTCACCTCCACCTTCTGCCCAGCCTACCCCTCAGTATTGAGCCCAGTATCTTGCACACTAAACTTGGAGTTGGAGATAATATGCTTCATGGAAAACCTGTTGAGAAAAGGAGGGACTCTATCCTTTTGGACAGTCCAGTCCCTTTGGATTGAACTCTGTCCAGTCCTCCAAAGAGTAAAGAGTACAACTATAACATGAACCTAAGTTACACAGAGACAGCATTTGGGTTTAATTTGTTTATCACATTTCTCTCAACAATGAGGCAGTCTTTCTCAAAAAGCAGTGAACTCTATAAGATAGAGGGAGCACTGTTACTGTTGCAGGAATCTGTATCAATCGCATAAATTGATATTTAACTGAAATTGGTATTTTTAAGCCCTGCTGCTGGCTAGTATGTAACATAACATCACTGGTATTTAGAAATCAGTGATTAGAAATCTTTAAAAGGAAATTTCCTCATTTCAATAGGTTTGGGGAATAACTTAAGATAAATGGGAAAGTCCCATTTTCCATTACTCTGAGATTATTTAAAATATAGTGACACAGAAACTGTGTCCATGTCTACCAGTATCCATTCACTCCTTCGTCTTTTAATAACAGAGCCTTGGATTTTAGCTGGATATATGTGTATCTGGGCTTCTCAGGTGGCTCAGTGGTAAAGAATCCACCTGCCAGTGCAGGAGATGGCAAGAGATGTGGATTCGATCCTTGGGTTGGGAAGACTCCCTGGAGGAGCAAATGGCAACCCACTCCAGTATTCTTGCCTGGAGAATTCCATGGTCAAAGGAGCCTGGTGGGCTACAGTCCATCCTGCTTTGCCTTCAATGTGGAATAGAAATAAAGCATCTATTCTGTGTAAGCCATGACTATTAATATTTTGGTTTCTGGTGAAGAATATTAGTATTGATCTACCAATATTCTAACTCATACATATCCCTAATTCAACAGTTAATTCAAAACTAATTGAATCCCTAATTCAAACCTAGGTGATTTTCCTTCTTTACCCTATTAGTATAATATCTTAGGGCTTCCCTGGTAACTCAGATGGCAAAGAATCTGCCTGCAAGGCAAGAGATCTGGGTTTGATCTCTCGAGAAGGGAATGGCAACCCACTCCAGTATTTTTGTCTGGAGAATTCCATGGACAGAGGAGCCTGGTGGGCTACAGTCCATGAGGTCATAACAAGTTGGACATGACTGACTAACGCTTTCATGATATCTTATTAGGAGATCACAACATGAGAAGAATAGAAATTAGCATCTTTTGACTGTGAGTTGCATCCTCCTCTCTCTCTCTCTCTTTTTTTTTTTTGGTGCTTTGCCTTGTCCTGGTCCATATTAAAACTTGATTTCTATATAAAAATCAAGGGCCAAGGTAAGATCTGGACTGGAACTATGTTTATTTGTCAATATAGTAGGATTTTTGCTAGCAGCTAAAACCTTAATTTTTTATGTTGCTGAAGCTTTGTTTTTTAGGGAGGAGTAATTTTCATATAGGTTTGTTTATATTGTATACACAAATAGATATATATGATTCATTCATACATCCATTCATTCATTTTATTCAAGTTATTTGACAATGAAATATATACAGTAAACCTATCCAAATAAAGTGAAAAGAAATTCATGGTAAGAGATATCAAATGGGTTACAATTCATTACTACATATTTACAGGTATATGAAAAGAAGTGAATTACAAACTTGTCTTAAAATTCTTCAAAAGAAATATCAGCCACTGTTGTGAATCCTACCATTTTCTTTAACTCTATTAGTGTAGCAATTGATGCTTTTGTGGCATTAGAACCAACGCCTAACAGAAATATTCTAATATATCATTAATTGGTATAGGTCCTATTTCTCTTTTTGTGCCTGAATTAAGTGTAGATGTATGAACATTTGATTGCGTGGCTGGAAACATCTAAAGTCGTACAAAACATTGCTCATTTTTATCCTGGCACTAACTGGATTTCAGAAGGTTATTTCCATTCATCCAGTTCTGGAGATAAGGTTCTATTTATGTCCTTTGTGAAATATCCCTATAGCTGGTTATGGGTTATCTAGATGAGGACAAGGATTCTAAAGGCAAGAATATCTTTTCAGTTCTCATCTCCCTTTATAGTTATGTTTATCTATAAACATGCCTCTCTTTCCCTAAAGTAGCCATCGCAGCTTATTTTCTTACACTAACTGTCAAAAATCACAGATATTTGGGAATCATAGTAATGACAGAGGTAGGTTCTCACATTAGAGGGAGCTGGCTGGGAATGCCAGGGCAGTAGTGGTGGGGGGGGGGTCCCAGGCTTTCTTGGTCTGTGGGGCTACTGGTCTGCCCAACCCTGAGATTACTTTCTCTGAGTGTCTCAATTTAGTTTTTGTACCATTTCTCTATTTTTGGCGGTCTTAACCACATCATGTCAATGTCTTACTTTAAAAACAGGTGTTGGTACATCTGTGTCTCTTTTTCTATTTTGCATATAGGGTTATCGTTACCATCTTTCTAAATTCCATATATATGCGTTAGTATACCGTATTGGTCTTTATCTTTCTGGCTTACTTCACTCTGTATGATGGGCTCCAGTTTCATCCATCTCATTAGAACTGATTCAAATGAATTCTTTTTAATGGCTGAGTAATATTCCATGGTGTATATGTACCACAGCTTCCTTATCCATTCGTAGACCCAGAGGAATCGGGTGGAGAGGGAGGTGGGAGGGGTGATCGGGATGGGGAATACATGTAAATCCATGGCTGATTCATGTCAATGTATGGCAAAAACCACTACAATATTGTAAAGTAATTAGCCTTGAACTAATAAAAACAAATGGGGGAAAAAAAAACAGGTGTTCGGAAAAACTCAGAGTGACAGCCACTCTCCTTGGTATACCCTTAGCAACATATGCAGTGGGAGGATAGCTACGAGATGACTTGCGTAGATATATTCTTTCTTTTTTAATTGGAGTAGAGTTGCTTTACAGTGTTGTATTAGCTTCTCCTGTACAACAAAGTGAATCAGATATATGAAGAGATATCCTTTTTGATGGAAAGGATCTTAGATTCAACTAGCTTTCAGAAAATAAATACCACATGCCTGGATCTTTCTAATTAGTTTTATTTCATGTAAATTTGTTCACTGAATTCCAAGAACTTGGCTTCTTATACTTATCCAGGTAGTTCTCCAATGCCCACTGTCTATTACACCCTAAATAGAAATAAATATAAATTGCTTTCAATCATTTAAATAAAATTTTACAATTAACAAAAATATTTTAGTAAGTAAAAAATGATTCGAAAGATGTCAACTGAAAAGTGAAAGTGTGCACATTTAAAATGGCCTTGTTACTACAAACTGCTTATATTACAGAACAATATGTGAGTTTAAAATTTGTACCTTCCATTACAGAAGGGAAAGGCAACTAGTATATGTCATGATTCCTTTTTCAAGAAGACATCTTAAGATGGCAAGTGAGTATATGATTAAAAATTATCTGAGATGTTATTTGCTGTGGTTGACTGCTATTAGCAGTCATATTAGTTGACTCTAACAGCAGTGGTAAAGGCCATATAAGCACTAAAGAAAGCATCATTAGAGATTTTATCCATCCCAGGCAGGCACCCAAAGGATGGGTGATTACAACTCCTATAGAAACGTTAGTTGGTATATTCCAAAAGCATAGAAAAAACGGTCCAGCATTTATTAACTACCTCATTCATGGGAAATGCTGCTGGGAGATCACAATCCTCTAGAGAAGATGCCAAGAAGCTAAGAATATATTAGCTCCTAGTACAAGAGCCTTCATCTGCTCTTCACAGCTATTTTTAGAAAACAATTGCAGCATTGACCAAGCACTATAGAGAAAACACTGTAAATGTTGGAACTTAGAATGCAGCTAGAGAAATTTAGTAGATGAGAATTGGAAAAGAAGTACAAATTGCAGGAAAATACCAATTTGATTAATATAAATAAGGCATATCTGTATTTGGGGTGTCTAAATAGAGTCTTTAAGACAATTTGATAACAAAATATAATGAAGCTTGTGAGTTTTAATATCTTTTTAGACTATGGTTTATTAGATTAATATTTCTTTTTGAAGCACTGGCAATGAAAAGGATTTTTCCCTAAAGAAAGCAATCTCCTTCGTTTTCTTTCCATGAGTTTTTATGTGTTGCATCATAAAATAAGACATTAAAATGTGTTTTTAAAAATCTTTGTTAGTAAATATGTAAACTTCATATTTTTTTTAATTGTTTCAGAAGTAAGTCTGGATAATGTTTGTTATTTTTTCCTCCTTTGAAAAATACTAGCAGGAAAACGTCAAAAACAAATGTGATCCCACTTTGAAAAGCACGAAAACTGCAATATAAAATAAGCATAATTTTCCATAGCTAGAATGAGCTGTTTCAGGTTTATAGAGTTCATAAAATCACGACCATATGCAGCTTTCAGCTTAAAGAGGTTCTGATTTACTTGACATGTATGGGCAGAGCACAGCGGTCAATCCAACCTCACCAAAGCTTGAAATAAAAAGCTACTCACCACCGGTGATGGGGAAAGTGCAATGTTGCCTATTGATGCCTTCAGTTCATCTACAGTTGCAGCGTTCTTAAGAATGTCTTTAGCTTGCAATGGCTTAATCTTGATATTAAACTTCTTGTGTGATTCTTCTTCCTCTTCTGATTCACTCGAAGAATAAAAGTGCTTTCCTTTGGTAGGTAAAACACAGTTAAAGACGCATAACTCTGTCTTTTCTACTCAGAGGCAATGATGAGTATAAGACAAGAGTGATTGCACAAAGACACAGCAGAAGCACACTTGGGTGGCAGAAAATCAAAGCAAAACAAAAATCAAAGTGTAAAGCAGGAAAGAGTCAGAATTTATCCACCTTTCCTTGGAACATGATTAAGGAGGACAAATTTCCAGGAGCAATGGTTCCAAAGCCCATTATGTGTGTCACACTCAGCACTCATAGTTACAGGCCCGTGGGGATTTCCTCTTACCACAGGAGACAGGAAGGCCACTCTGTGAAGGATTTGTGATGACATTTTGTGCTTCAGAGTGTGACCTGCTCTGACCAGAGATGGTTTGTGGGGAAAGCACAAGTCAGAGCTATCTCCCAGCCACCATAAGTAGTGTTATCATATCAGATTTTAGAAGACAACCCAGCACCCACAATTTGCACAATTGTTTTTCAGCGCAATTTTTCTTTCTCCTCTCTCCCTCTTCTATGAATAGATTAAGGCAAAATGCCTGCTTGTTAGTGATCAGCCTGTTCTCTGTGCTGTTTATTCATCTCTAATACTAGTGACAACAGGATTTGAGAAGCTTGAGTTTCGGCACTTCTGCAAATCCTAAATTTATCATCCTACTTTCTGAAAGCAAATGGAAATTAAGATTAAAATATAAAGAAAGGATATAGCCGGGTTCCTCAGGTCTGATGCTGTAGCCTTCTTCATCCAGCTCAGGGGAATTCTATAAAATACAAGTGCACATTAAACAATCATTGTCCTGACAATGGTAAAGAAATTACTCACATTCCTTGAAGAATCATCTAGTTAAGGATATAGACGTGCCTCTTGTTTTGAATGCTATGTGTTTATAAATTTACTCAAGGATATTTGGAGAGTCTGCCTATTGGGAAAATAAACTAGAAGTCAATTGTCAGTGAAAGAAAATTCTCAAAGAGAATGTATCATGCACTTCCTATAAGCCAAGGATTATGCTAAGCAACATGGTGGGGATACAACATGCAAATTATCTTTTGTCTGTATTCTGGTAGTCAAAAGTTTAAAGAAAAGGCAAAACACAAAATATTACTGATAGAAGTCTGAAAGGAAAGGAAATTTGTGAGATCTGGAAGAATTAGGGAGTCTCTGTGTGCCTTTTGGGTCAGACGGAGAGGAGAGGCAAGTCCGTGGTGGGGAAGAGATTGTACCAAGACACCAAGGTAGGATTGGACAGTATGATTCTCATGGTGAAAGGGAAAGGGAGATGAAGATGACAGGACTGGAGAGGAAGCTGTATGGGGAAGGAAGACCATGGAAAAGAAGACGGGTGGGGGGCAGGCAACATTCTAGGGGAAAAGTCTGGACTTGACATGGCTACTGCAGCTTCTCAATTAGGGTGGGACATGCTGAAAGCTTCCCTGGCGGCTCAGATGGTAAAGAATCTGTCGGCAATGTGGGAGACCTGGGTTTGATTCCCGGGATTAGAAGATCCCCTGGAGGAGGGCATGGCAGCCCACTTCAGTATTCTTGCCTGGAGAATCCCCATGGACAAGGAGTCTGGCAGGCTACAGTCCATGGCGTTGCAGAGTCAGACACAACCGAGTGACTAAGCACAGCACTTGCTGAAAGCAGAATCATGAGATGTTGAAAATATGCTGAGGATAGACTGGGGACAGAAGAAACTGGAGAAAGGAAAACTAACTCATGATACTTGCAACAATTCAGGTGAGATGTGCTAAGGAGGACCAAGTTGTTAGTTTTGGGAAGGGATGAATTGAGGACATTTGGAAGGACAGATTGTGAGTTCTCAGTCTCAGATTGGTCATGGGAGAAAAAGGAGAGGAAATGTTCAAGAAGATTCCAAGATTTCTTCCATCAAATCCTGGGAGTACTCCTGGCTGAACTCATTCTAACAGGAGGCAACTAACATTTTTAGGAAAAAGATAAGAAAGATAAAAGCCTGCATGATTGGGATTAGTGTTGCCATATCTTAGTTCCTGTTATATGGTCAGTACCATGACCTACGTTTTGTTTCACTGACTATTCATAGCAATCGTGTGTGTGTGTGTTAGTTGTTCAGTTATGTCCAACTCTTTGTGACCCCATGGGCTGTAGCCCGCCAGGCTCCTCTGTCCACGGAATTCTCCAGGCAAGAATATTGGAGTGAGTAGCCATTTCTTCCCCCAGGAGATCTTCCCGACCCAAAGATCGAACCTGGGTCTCCTGCACTGCAGGTGAATTCTTTACCGTCTGAGCCACCGGGGAAGCCTCATAGCAATCGTACATGGAAAGGGTCATCCCATCCACCAGGGAGGAAACTAAGAGAAATCAGATGCCATTTCTCTAGGAAATACATCTAGCAAATGACAGGCCTGGTCTTGACCCCAGGTGTTTTGAGGCTAAACTTGGTGCTTGAGAGGGGAAGAGGGGGCAGAGTTCAAAGCTGGCCTCCTGAAGTTGAGGTTATAGGACTGGAAGAAAGAGAACAGAGCTGGAGAGAGAGATCTTGGAGTCACTGAAGCAACATATAAGCCATGACCAAGGAGAGAAAAGAGGGCCTGAGTGCCATGGAAAAGCTGCCATTTATTGTGCATTTATTATCTCCCTTTTGTACTTTCAGTACTTAAAATTAGTTGTTTTTTTTTTTTTAAGTGCAAGAGTATTAAGGTTACTTTCCTGCTAAAAACCTGCCCCTGCCTTTTTACTGCACTTAGAATAATAACTTAGCACCATTAAATAGCCCACAAGGCCCTGCCTGATTCTCTCAGGGCCTTCTTCCCACTGTTGACATATGAGGTTTGATCACTGCAGGCTTTTTCCCACTTCTGGATCCTCATAAAAGTCCTCCTTTTTGCCTGAAAGTCTCTTCCCTCAAATATGAAGTCAGTTAAACCTTACTTAAACTTTAGAGCTTTGCTTAAAGGCCACATCCATCCCTAGGTTTTCCCTGCCACAAACACAATGATACAGTCTCTTTAAAATAAAATCTTTCTTATTACTTAAAGAAAGTGGAGTCTAGTGTATTAATATAATTATAACCACAATTCCTATGACCTGAATAGCTTTTAGGACTAAGCAAATTTGAGGGAAATTCTGCTTCCTTTAAACACTCCCAAGTTGTTAAGGATAGCACCAAGGTTTAGGGTTGGATGGAGAATCAGGAATACTTGATGAATAATCAACTAATAATCACATATTGATGAATCATCAATAATAATTTTGTATTTTAATTATCATGCTTCTTTTTTGCTTAGAGTATCCCATTCCTGTGCATTAAAGATGTCTACAAAATATAACAAAATTTTTGTTATAACAAAAATTCTACAAAATCCTACAAAATACAACAAAATTCTTTTTAGGTGAAAAAGTGCTAATTTTGAGAAAAAGATTACCTGTCCTTAATATATCTAGTAACTTCCCTTATAATATTATTTATGAACAATTTGGATGTGGGGTAAAATGCTGTGCTATGCTTAGTCACTCAGTCATGTCTAACTCTTTGCAACTCCATGGACTATAGCCCACCAGGCTTCTCTGTCCATGGGGAGTCTCCAGGCAAGAACACTGGAGTGGGTTGCCATGCCCCCCTCCAGGGGATCTTCCCAACCCAGGGATCAAACTCAAGTTTCCCGAATTGTAGGTGGATTCTTTACCATCTGAGCCACCAGGGAAGCCCAGGAGTACTGGAGTGTGTAGCCTATCCCTTCTCCAGGGGATCTTCTCAACCCAGGAATTGAACTGGGGTCTCCTGCATTGCAGGTAGATTCTTCACCAGCTGAGCTACCAGGGAAGCCCATGGGGCAACATAGGGGCTGTCACAGATCTAGGGAATTGAACTGCAGAAAATATAAAAAAGATCTCAACACTGGGAAACAGGTATAAGGGAAGACCAGGTAATGAGGTTGACAGAATGACATGTTCTGGAGTGTACAGGTGGCATGAATAATTGAATTTTCTTGAGAGTCAGTTTTTCTTTCTATAAAATGCAGGTAATGTAGTATTCACCTTCTAAGGTGTAAAAAACAGTGGCAGATTTGATTTTCTTGGGCTCCAAAATCACTGCAGAACTCCTTGGAAGAAAAGCTATGACAAACCTAGACAGTGTATTAAAACGCAGAGACATCACTTTGCAGACAAATGTCTGTAGAGTCAAAGCTATGTTTTTTCCAGTAGTCATGTGTGGAAGGGAGAGTTAGACCATAAAGAAAGCTGAGCACCGAAGAAATGATTCTTTCAAACTGTGGTGCTGGAGAACACTCTTGAGAGTCCCTTGGACAGCAAGAACTAGCCATTCAATACTAAAGGAAATCAACCCTGAATTGGAAGAACTGATGTTGAAGCTTCCAATACTTTGACCACCTGATTGGAAGAGCTGACTCACTGGAAAAGACCCTGATGCTGGGAAAGACTGAGGGCAGGAGGAGAAGGGGTCGACAGAGGATGAGATGGTTGGATGGTATCACTGACTCAATGGACATGAGTTTGAGCATGCTCTGGGAGAAAGTGACGCAAAGGGAAACCTGGCATGCTGCAGTCCATGGGGTCACAAAGAGACGGACAGGACTTAACAACTGAACAACAAAAAGGTGGTAAGAATTTAGTAGCATGTCATAATATGAATGTTCGTATTTAAAAAAGTGAAATTCTTAACCAATATGCAAATGCATTAACATCAAGTTTAATTTTTATGAAAGAGGAGGTTGGGTTAGACAGTCACCTAAGTTGTAAGTACAAAGGCATTTTGTAGGAATTATGAATTTAGGCACTTGGTATGCAATAAAAGTGATTTTTGATATGAATATGGCCTATATGTTTTCTATGATTAGAAATATAAGAGCAATTTTGTCCATCCTGTTGTGGCTGGTGAAGTGTGTGGTGATGAGGTTAACTGGCTACTGGGGGAATTACAAGGAGAGTTGAGGTCTCCACTGGGATTCACCCTTACTCCTTGGGAAGAAACAACTGATTGTCATTTGACTTGGGAAAAATCTGTACCATGAGGCTAGAATAATTTTCATATGCTATGGTAGGAATATTTGTATTGCTCCCTAATTCATATGTTGAAATCCAAACCCCAAGGTAATGGTATTCGGAGTTGAGGCCTTTGGGGGTGATTAGGTCACAAGGGAGGAGACCGCATGATTGGGATTAATGCCCTTATAAAAGAGACCACAGTGAGGTTACAGTTAGAAGGTGCCTTCTATGAACCAGGAAGTGGGCACTCAACCAGACACTGAATCTGCTGGTATCGTGATCCTGGACTTCCCAGGCTCCAAAACTGTTAGATATAAATGTTTGTGTTTATAAGCCATTCAATTTTTGGCATATTTGTTATAGCCACCTGAACAGACTAGGACATTGCAAAATCAAGGCCTAGACATGAACTGACTTGACTCAATACTCAAAGCTGCTTATCAATATAATTAGGACTGAACATCTAGAGTTAATATTTTAAAAAGTGTTTTTTGAACATGCATGCCAGGCTAGGCAGGCTACTGAAATATTCTGCAAAGAGTTAGCTCATTGAATCTTCTCAATAATGTTATAAAGTAACTACTGACTTCATTTATGGTGGCCAGCAAATAACCAAAGCCACACGTAGCTGTTCCACGGAGGGGTCAGGTCTCAAACTCAGGTCTAACAGACTCTAGTGCTCTTAGACTCTATACCAGGCTAACTGTGCCAGCACTTCCTGATGAGATGTTTCACTTATTTCTATGCTCTATTTTAAGTATAAGCATGCCTCGACTCTTTTTCACACTGAAATTTTATAAAAACAATCTGATACTCACATATCTTTCCCAATCAATTTCTGCATAAAATCCATTTGGTGCTCCATTGCTTTTCTTCTGTAATAAATTTGAAAATACATTTAGAAAAGAAACATTTGAATTAATATAAGAGAAACAAAAGAAAACTTGTCTTATATGCATTTAGCAAGAGCTATCAAAATCCAGCACTGGAAAGACACATTAGAGCAACCTATTAAGCAACCACATTGGTGTAACTGAATGGTAAATTGAGTTGCCATGACACTGCATAAAAGAATTTACACACTTACTTCACAAAAGACTGTAGGATATGCATAGGGATATTAACAACTAGCTACTCAAATGTTATATAATTACTAAAGAATCAGCAGCCCCTATGTATTATTTAATCCTCTATACCTCAGGGGATATAACCAGATGTATTCAATATGTAATATTTAAATGGAAATATTTTGACCCATGTTATTCTCATACACAATTATTTCCAACATATCCAGAAAATATCATCCAAGTCATTAATTCATCTTCTTTCAGCTTTTCTAACACTGACTCAAGTTTTCCTAAACACCCTTGATAAAATATAAAGGGAATCAGATTCAAATTAGTTAACTCAGCCTCTAAGTATTAAAAAATAATGTTGATGTTCTTTTCAAGTGACTTTTCTTATGAAATTACTAAAACACAACTTGAGGATTAATTGTGGATTTCTATCATCCATGCATCCTAGGCCTCCATGAGCACACATCATTATGAGAGGACTGGGTATCAGCATTATTCTCTCAGAATTATCTTAAAGTTCTATTTTCAGCCCTGGTACTGCCATGACATGTATGGCCATGAGAACTTGATCAAGGATGTGGTATCATTCAAACTGAAATTTCTAGGATTCTTTGTTTCTCATGAGCAAAGGATAAAAACAGATGAGGTCGGTAATGGAGAGTCCATTCAACAACATTCCTACTGTAAGCACATAGAGCAATGATATGTCACTGAGCACTCATGGATCGATCTCACAACAACACACATCGAATGCTGATGAATGAGGCTTGAGGACAGGACACCTAATTTTGCAATCACAAATGAAAGCTGGTTGAGCTACAATGTTAACAGCTGACACCATTTGACAAGTAGGTTGGAAAAGAAACCTTTTCATCTATGCATGCTGGATCACTAAAAAACCAAATCAGAGGTAACCTAGTAACATCATCATTGATTGATACTGCATGTTGATTGGGTACTCTAAGAACTAGCAGTGGTTGAGTGAGGGGAAATAGTGTGCAAGGAATAGATAATGTGTCCATTATTTTCCTGTTTCTTCCCATATACCACCACTGCACTAGAACTTACAAATGCACAAATTCTGTCCTGCCTCCACCAACCAACACACTGGGACAAAGGGCCCATGCCCCATATCCCTCTTCTTTGTCTTGCTCCTGACAAAGATTATATGCTTAATCAAACTACATCATTTTAAGCTTCTCACAGAATTGCCTTCATTGAATTAGTGCTTCAATGATATTCTTTGCTATTTAAACAAAGGTTGTTTTAAAAACTTGCCACATCAACGTTGCGCCTGTATAACCTATGAAGCTCCTTTTGAGGACATGCCATCTCATAATAAAAAATCTCTCTTGTGGTGAATGGCATGGTTCTTCCTATTTGTCATACTTGTTTTCTTTTAAAATTTCTACTTTACCAATGTTTGCATATGTCTTCCTTGCAAAATTCTCCAAATCCTCCTTATAAAGCTGCTGCTGCTGCTAAGTCACTTCAGTTGTGTCCGACTCTGTGTGACCCCACAGACGGCAGCCCACCAGGCTCCCCCATCCCGGGGATTCTCCAGGCAAGAACACTGGAGTGGGTTGCCATTTCCTTCTCCAATGCATGCTAAGTCGCTTCAGTCGTGTCTGACTCTGTGCGACCCCATAGACGGCAGCCCACCAGGCTCCCCCGTCCCGGGGATTCTCCAGGCAAGAACACTGGAGTGGGTTGCCATTGCCTTCTCCAGTGCATGAAAGTGAAGTCGCTCAGTCGTGTCTGACTCCTAGCGACCCCATGGACTGCAGCCTACCAGGCTCCTCCATCCGTGGGATTTTCCAGGCAAGAGTACTGGAGTGGGGTGCCATTGCCTTCTCCTCCTTATAAAGCATATATAATAAATTCAAAATACAAACGTAATTTAGAGTAATGGGAAATCAAATGAACTAAGCTGATCTCAAAAAACTAAACTTATGAATTCTATGATCAATATAGTACTATTAATAGATCTTTCAGTCCTTAATTCTTTATTACAAAGAATTGCTATCTAAAAACCAAAGAGATTAGATAAATTACTGAGTTCAAAATTTTCGAAGTTCTACTGATGTTTGCTTCCATGATAATCTCATCTCTGTAACCAAAGCCTTTCAAGATCAAGAGAGTTGATAGGTTCAGCTAAACAAAGACAAAATGAGTGTGTGTATTTCTTTACTGGCAATATTAGAAATACAAAAGTTCCTCAGTTTTTTGAATTTTCTAGATCTGGGCTGAGAGAATGTTTCTCAGTTTCCATGGAAACCAGTGGAAGACTGTGATAAAGAGAAAGCAAAGCCTATAAAAAGAAATTTCTTTTAAAATAAGAACACTTTAAACATAAATACTAAACACAAACAACAAATCATAATAGTACATTCTTTTGGGTTGATATTAAAAACACACATACACACACATATATACACACAGTTCTATTAGAGAAATTAGCAATTTAGAATCATTCACACTAGTGAATTCTTACAAATATATTTGATTTTGCAAGTGGAAATTATCAAGTTAGAGCTAATGTAGAACCTGGTTGAAATTCTTCTGGTAAAACTCTAAGGAAGAAATTCTCCCAGTTTAACAATTTAAGCAGCTCATAGTGGTGATATGGAGGTAATGGCTCTATTGATTTTCAATTGGAAAACTGTGTAAAACCATGGAAGAATGTAATTTAAGTGGGGAAATATGTAAAAATTAGGCTTAATATTTAGAGCAATGTTGGCTATTCACCAACGTATTCAATATAAACAGTGATTTTTCTCTTGGAGTATAAGGTATGTATTTTTAAAATTCTTTTCTATATTTTCTAAAATCCACAATTCTCATGAATCACTTCTAAAACTTGAATATATGACTGTTATTTAAAGATAATCAAGGCTGATAGCAATATTGATCATGTTTTAATAGGTATTTTACTTTGGTCAAGCTTATTATCTCCTCTCAGATAATATGATTGGTTAGATCAATAAGTGTAGTAAAATTGCATTCAATTATACATTCATCAAAGTTCTTAATTTTAACTGTGGATGCTCCTCTTTTCCAGGATCATGGCCACATTGTGCTCTTTGGTGAGAAGTATTAAAGACATATGAAATGCTGCCTAAATATTATCTATTTGCCATTGAGATAGACTTGTCTCACTTTGTAAATAATGCTATAGAATAGCACTATCCAATAGAACTATCTGTGAAGAAGTAAATGTTCTGTATGTGTGTTGTCTGATATGGTGGCAACTAGCCACAAGTAGCTATGGAGTGCTTAAAATGTGGCAAATGTCACTGAAGAATTGAATTTTATTTTATTTTTAAAAATTAAAAAAATAGGTATTTATTTAACTGAAGTACAGGTGCTTTATAATGTTTCAGGTATACAGCAAAGTGATTCAATTATATATATACACACACACACACATATGTGTGTATATATACACACATTCTTTCCCATTATAGGTTATTACAAGATATTGAATATAGTTCCCTGTGCTATAAAGTAGGTCCTTGTTGTTTATTTTACATATAGTAGTGTATATCTATTAATCTCAAATTCTTAATTTATACCTTCTTCCCTTGATTTTTTCCTTGATAAACATGCTTGTTTTCTATGTCTGTGAGTCTATTTTTGTTTTGTAAATGGGTTCATTTGTATTTTTTTTGTTTTAGATTTCACATATAAGTGATATCATATAATATGATGTTCACCTTTGTCTGGCTTACTTCCCTCAGTATGATAATCTCTAGATCTATCCATGTTGATGCAAATGGCACTATTTTATCATTTTTATGATTAATATTCCATTGTATATATGCACTATATATTTATCCATTCATCTGTTGATGGCCATTAAGTGAGGAGCTGAATTTTAAATAGTCACATGTGGCTACCATTTTGAACAGAGCTATCATTGTTGTACAGTCTGGGCCACCAGGATCAGCACCCCAAGTCCCTGGCAAGTACCTTAGGTCGCTCAGGCCCAAGTCCTGCCAAATTCCTGATGTTACTTAGATAGTGCTTACCCTAACAAATGACTACTCAATTTCCATAATGCTGTTTATATTATAGCTAAAGTTTTCTTATAGATAGCAGATTTTTAAAAAAATCTGAATTGCTGTCCTTCATCTAAGACATAGTCATGTCTCTTATGCCTGATCACTTTTTAAAAGTATATTCAGACATCAACATATACAATCTATATAGTTGATTTAAAAATTGGCCCCAGTATTGGGAAATACTATCTAAGAAAGAGTCTTAAATGCTTTGGTGTTTTCAAATTTCAAATTGGGATTTTACTCACTGTTTCTACAACCCCTTGGAAATTTTAAACTAAAATCTGTTTCCTTACCGAAACTTTTTTTCCTCCTTCACGCGCGCACTCTGCTTTGTTATTGTAGGGTGGTTCATGTGGGCTGGGCTGCTGGAATTGATTGTTTTCATGTAGAAAAAAGTTGTTAAAGGATCTGTTTGTTCTTCAAGACACATATAAAGAATCACATGGAGTCAGCAAACATACCATAGAGGAAACAACATCTAGGCCAAATTGGAGGGCCTACCAATCTTGGCAGGGTTCTCGGAGCAAAGAGTGGACTTTGGGGCCCATAATGAGGCTCTATTCAGCAGGCCAGTGTGGTTAGGCCAGGAGAAGAAGGGAGAAGGGGAAAGAGGTGTCCCAGGCACCAGGGCTGATGTGGATCCAGTCCTCATTCAGCCAGCACTTAATTTACAGGTAGAGACAAACACTGGGACACACCAAAGACTGAATAAAAATAGTTGTGTTTCTAATGGCAGTCTGAAAAGGCTAGCTGCACTGTGTATTTCCCTGGATCATAGCCTTCTGGGGAGACAGCAAGACCCAGAGACACAGCTGCCAGCTCCAAACCTGGACCCTTTCCTGCACACGTGTTCAGGATGAGCTGAGAGCTCCTCGGAGCAATGACTGAGACATCCAGTCCCCCAGTCTAGGTGTGGATGGAAACCTGAACTGCTTAGGAAAGACCCAGAGTGTGTCTCTGGGTTAGACCGCATTGCCACACAGATGCCTAAATCCTCAAACTTCGAGACAGACAGCTTGGCCAGGAGTGGGCATATTCGACCAGTGGAGAGCAAGGCAAGCCCATCTTGTTACATGCAGCCCAGCTATGGAGCCTCTGCAGACAAAACCTCAAAAGCCTTGTCACCAAAGATGGGCTTCACTGGATTTGCAGAAACTGAATTTAAACAGTTAAACCTGTGGCGTAACTCCTGTGTTGACAAAGTCATATATAAGCATGAAGTGGGTATACCACCACCTGTAGTTTGGAGAACCACATTAGTGAAACCATAAATTTCAACTTCAGATATTCAAAAAGAAATCACTTTAAAGCTTACTTAGCCATGTAAAAGTGGACTGGCTCCACTGACATAAGGTCTTAAAGAAATCAGTCTGAGTTTGAAGGGAAATCAGGTTGAGATTTCCAGGGACTGAATGCAAATAGAAATGTTGGACTTCTATAGCAACTAGTCTGAGAAGGCATTCTCAAAATTTGGTGCCCATAGTACGTGGAGAAAACTAGAGGCACATTTCCAAGTGGTAAAATAAGCAGCTGGCTAACAATGTCCAATTACCTAGGAAGCTGTACACCCTGTTTCTGAGAACATGAATTTATTTTGAATGCAGCCTATTTTCCAAACAGGTGTTTATTATTTCCTGAGAAATCAAAATTAAATGACTCCTCTTTTCTAAAATCATGACCAGTAATACATTCGTGGCATTTCCAATTAAGGAACAAAGAGGGCGCGTCTGCTGGTAAATAACTTGACGTGACTGGGCATGGTGGCAATGATGGAGGGCTTGGGGAGCTCAGGGATGAAGCCCTGTCTTCGGGTGGGCGCGTCTGCAGAGTCTCAGCTGGGCTTATGGACACAGCACATGTGCAGAGTCACCTGTTGCACAGCAGTACTGTGCCAGGTACCAGGTGCATGTTCGACTCAAGAAGTAAACAGGGGGGCCCGAGCAGAGCAGAGAACTGAGACAGCAGTGGGGCTTCAGAGACGACGACCGGAGGGGTGGGAGGAGCTTTAGAGAAAGAAAAAAAAGGACAGGACTGAGGGAGGGAAGCAAGAGACAGCAAACCAGCCCGGGAGCAGCAGGGACGGAGAGCAGAGCCTAGCTAACGGAGTCTTGCAGGGGTGAGGATGAAAGGGACAAGAGAACTCAGGGACGGGGCTAAGACAGAAGCAAAGAGGAGACACAGAAGCAGAGTACCTGAGACAGAGTTAACGAGAGGGCTCTGAGCCAGAAGCAAGAGGTGAGGAGGAGCTGAGTCTTCTGGGTCTTTTTTTTCCCCTGCTGAATAGAGCCTTGATTATAGTGTTACCCAATGTCTGATAAATTTCAGTCTACTTCTTTAACATTTCATGGAGAGAACTACATGAATGCAAAAGGCACCCCAAAGCTAAGAACCTTGAGTTAATGTGGGAGAAAAACTCCTACCATAGCTACAGTTAACACCCCAATTTAGGTCTAATATTATAAAGGGTGACTTTTCAAAAAAAATTATCTATCAGGTTTATTTTAGTTCCCACTCCAGCCCAATGAGCCTAATGTGAGTCCCTTTTTTCCCTCCTTCAGTAACAGCTGTTCTTTTGAACCTTCTGAATAGGCATCTGATTCAGCCTTGAAGGAAGTCATTTTAGAAGCTGGTGCAGCCTGTCATCAGGACAACTTGGATAAATCCAAGCTCATGCACCATGGACTTCTCTAAAAAAGCAAGAAATCTGGTGACCAGCAAGGAACCAGAGTTCCTGTTAACTCTTGAACCAGTGAACACATTTTCCTCCTCCAGGCTATAAATTCAGGCATAAGTGGTTTCAAGATCATTCCCTACTTATTTAATACAGAAAATGTATCTGCAGTTCAACTGCAAAAAGGGAAAGCCTTCTTTCAATTTTATTGGATCTCAGCTCCATTATGACTTTGTGGCCTCTGTTGGAGAAAAGCATTCTCATATAATGAGCTCTTATATCATTAAATTGGAAATGAAATAACAGTTGATGGTAGCAGCCCCTGCAGGAACTGTCTGACTTTTGACCCATCATATTGATGACTGGTTGCCTTGCCTGCTCTGGAGCAAGGTTTTAGGTGAATGCAATAAATAAGTTTAACTTGACCAAGACTGTATTTATGTCCCGTGCAATTACTACAAAAAATTACAACAGTAAGAGGTCTGAAAAGTCATTTAAGCTCATTTTCTCCCCCTGCAGGAAAAAAAATGAAATGGGGCTTTAAGAAATTTAAACTAGCATAGGTTGAAATGCAAACCTACTAAAAATGGTCATTTAAATACTTACAATTCCATCTCTATCTGGTGAACCTCTGTAACAAAAAGAAATTAGTAGCTATTAGGAAAATGAATCATTCTTGCTACACAGACTCAAGTACAACAATAAGAGTCATTAACCACCTCTTGCCAGTTCCCACCCCAGTAAACCTGGCTAATGTGAGCTCATCAAAACAAATCGGTTGAATGATATTTCAGTGTGGGGTGTGTGTACATGTATGTGGGAGGGAGAGATTCATTAAAAATTGAAATCCAAAAGGCACAAGTTGTTGGTGCAGTGTCTTGCCCACTTTTGAGAGGAGAATTCAGTAAGAGCTGTCCCATTTAATCGGCTTCCATTTAAAACTGCCACCAGGAATGCCAATCGATTTGTTCTCTCATCTTCTCCCCGTAAGTGGTCTTGAATTTCCCCTTATAAGAAGGAACTTCTATGGTATTTTTCAAGTCACTTTGAGAATCTGTATTTTCCTCCATCTTTCTATATTTACTGCTCCTTTGATTACATGAGAGCAGGAAATGAAGGGCAATTTTACTAAATGGTTCACTTTGATGACTAATGTCCAGGGTATTTAATCCACAGTGATTCTAGGCTACAGTGTTGAAGAATAAAGTCTTTAGAGAAGGATGAATCTAGGTGTTCTGACTCCATTATTTACTAATTCTCTAATCTTGGACAAATTACTTAACCTCTCTAAGTCAGTTTAAGCATGAAAAGTATATAAAGAACCTATAATGATTCCCAACACATACTAAGTCTTCAAAAATGTTTGTTACACGTTTTTTTTTTCTTCTTCCTTGATGGCTTTACCCTAGGAACAAACACAAAACTGCCCACTTGCAGCCACATTAGGCTTTATAGCAATAGAGGAAGGGTATTACTGTTACTCTGGAAAATTGAACTGGAGGAACAGAAGAAAGGGAGAAATAAAAGGGTAGTCATTGTAACTTTATAACCTCTTATATTAATTCTAATATTAATATTTTAATTAATATTAATTAATAAATATTAATTCTCATATTAATTAATATTAGGAGCTAGAAAAATATTATTCTATTAACATGGAGACCATAATCATGCTCAGGTGAGGACCTGCACTGTTTGGAAGGAAACCTTAGTAAGTGCTTGGGTGGTGTGAAAATGAAAGTGAAAGTCCCTTAGTCATGTCCAACTCTTTGGGACCCCATGTCATGGAATTCTCCAGGCCAGAATACTGGAGTGGGTAGTTGCTCCCTTCTCCAGGGGATCTTCCCAACCGAGGGATCGAACCCATGTCTCCCATACTGCAGGCAGATTCTTTACCAGCTGAGCCACCAGGTGTGGTTAGGACTGTTCCTTAGGGGGTGGGACCAAGTAAAATGTTCTTTATTTACTGGGACATCTTCTTAGCTCCAAAGTTTGATTCCTTTCCCTGCCAACACCCCCTTCAAAATTAGCAGAACATTCTACTTGGATTACAAATTATTTGATGGGAGTGCATCATTTTTCATAATCATTTCCACCTGGATGCAAGCATGAATCAGTGATACAGGGGCTAGAAGCAGAGAGAGCCCTGATTTTGAAAGACCATGGGAGTTGACAGAAGCCTGAGGGTGTTTGGACATTTGCTGGCTATGAGAATTACTAACAGTTGGTTCAAAGAAATTTCATCTAAGAAAGAAGGATAGGAAGAATTATATATAATTCACTGAACAAATATTGAGGGACTTATAATGGGCCAGGCACTAGACTAAACTCAGGAGATAAAATGATGAAGAAGACATGCTTTTTGAGACAAGCAAGTAAATCCAGTGGGTTATTATGACCACAATAAACCCAGGTGGCAGCACAGAGAAAAGTACCAACTCACACTCATCAAAGCCAATCTTCCTTATCAGATTTATACTGAAAAACAAACAAACATTTCTTACTAGGATTTCAGCCTCTTCTAAGGGATCAGGAGAGAGGAGATTTTGCTAACTTTTGCGTAGGACAGATCCAGAGGCACCCATCCTCGTGGTGCTGTCTTTAGGGGCAGGTGATAGATGCAAGGGGATCTTAAATGGGAGGCTACTTGGTTTCATGTGTATTACCGCCATAGGGATGGCATTTCAAAATTTTCATCAGAATAAATGTAATCGTACATAGCAGTGTTGATGTCTATTTGAATCCTTTGCCTTATCCATTGGTGGAAATAAGGCTGGTTCTTCCCAGTATGGTGGTGGTAAGCATGGTGGTGGAGAGCAACAGCTACAGCACCAGACTGCAGGGTTCAATCAACTCAGATTTCCTAGCTGCAGAACTTCAAACAAGAACTTCACCCCTTTGCCTTTCAGTTTCCTCATCTACACAACAGCTGTGATAACAGTATATATCTCACAGGGTAAAGGATTCAGTGAGTTAATATAAATGAAGAGCCTGGAATGGTGCTTAGAACGTTGTAAATACTCATAAAATGTTATCTAGATTAAAGTTATTATATCAATATAAGCTGACCTAGGATGAGGAGCAGAGAGAGATTTTAGCAGCCTCAGACAATTGGGCATGTCCTCAATTTATTTCCTAACCCCCTCTTATTAAGTTTTATGTTTTTAAATAAATACAGCAAACCCACCATATTTACTGATTTCCATTTTAAAACTGATCATCTACCAGGCAACTTTTGCCTCTGTTTTTAAAAATGACAGTTACCTCTTGCCACTACTCCCTTTTCTCTATTACCCCCCTTTTGGTCTTGATTATAATTTTCTCCATCTATTCTGTTTTTTTTTTTTTCCTGGGTGATAAAAGAATAGTCACTTGATTCTGGACTAGAAAGCTGGATCCATGTCTTATTTTCTGGGTAGCCTTCAGCAATTAATTCATTTTGACATTGATTTCTCATCTCTAAAATTGAGACATTACTTCTAACCTTATTGAATTACTGTGAGGATTGAAAAGGATATCAGTGCATTACAAAATACCTTGCACAGAGTCTGGCATTTAGCACAGGCTCTCTCCTTTCCTCTTTTTATCAGCCATTGTAATGATGATCAAATCAGGAAGCTCTGATTCTAACCCCACTCAGTCTAAGGACACCCAATCAGCTGAATTTGGAGCTGGCAGCTACCATAGCAGGTTGCTTGGCAACCCTCATGAAGTTGCAACAGCCCTGAAAACAGTTTGCATCAGCAAGGTTTCGGTGATGGCAGACTATCATAAGCATTACCTAAATTTGAAGGGATAGGACATTGCCAGAATATTTCCCCAGCCTTCTGCAAGAATGATATATGACCCAAGCAGAGAGCAGGGTGTTCCTGAAAGGCAGAGGCTTACATTAAATGGCTTGTCCTTTGACCATCACCACTGATGGAACCAGTTTATAGCTAATTTGCTACACCTAAGTAAACTGGGGCACTCAGATTACAAGAAGTGAAGGAGAGATGCTTGGAATTTTACAAGCAAATGTCTCATTAGAGTACTTCAGAGAGATGTTGGCCATCTACCCAAAGCCGTGAGGAGTAACTTTCTCATTTTCACGATTTTAGAAGTGATGATGGAAGAGCGGTGCTTTCGCCAAAGGCAACTAGCTCAGCCTGCCCTGGGGAGGTTGTCTGACCTCTTTTCCCTTTTGAGGGAGCTTTTATCCTTTTTAGTTTTCTCCACACACCAGAGATTACGTGTAGTAAGTTACAGACACTATCTTCAAAGAAAGCTGGATTTGGTTTCTGCTAACAACGTCCTCCTGAGAAATGTCTAATAGTATCCCACACAGCACGTGGCACATTGTAGGTGACATGATGTTGCTGACAGACGGACTGCTACAGTGTCTGGCCTTTTAGGGAAATTAACTCTAACGTCAATGTAGGCCCATTAGAGGAAAGTGTATTCTAAGGCTGTGGAGCTATTGGCAAACCTGAAGCCAGAGCCCAGGTCTCCTGACTCTGATGAATGAAACATCTCCAATTCTGGTTAACTTTTCAAAAATGGCAATTTGTTAAGAAATAATGGAAGTTGTCTAATGCTCAGAAATTTTTCTAATTTAATCATTTAAAAACATTGGCAAGACTAGATAGAGTAAATGTAGTTTCCATGAAATAACTATTTACCAAAAGAGAAAGCACAAAGAAAAGGTAAGATCAGGAGACTTGACATCTGATATTTAGACAAAACATAGCTTTTTACACCCTCAGTCCTTTACAGTCTCTGGTTTAAAAGCCTCAAGGCTTCAAGGTTGCACACTGTTTAAGGAAGGAAGCCCAGACACCTCAGCCTGGCACTTCAAGCCCTTCCTGTCTAGCCCTGATCTTTTCAGCCTCACCTCCCATCATCACATGTACCAGCTGTTGACAGGTAGACAGACTGCCCTGTTTAGCTTGTCCTGAAGACCTCCTTGGATTTTCTACATCTCTGCTTTGGCTGTTGCTCCCTTTGCATGAAATGCATGTCCTCATCTTCTTGAAGATCAAACTCAAGGCTCCTCCCACTTTGAAACTTCATTGAACATCTCTTTAAATATGAGCTTTTCCACCCTCGAATTTCCCAGGAAATTCCATTTTTAGTTGCTCAAAAGGAACTTGCCACATATTAATTTGTACTAGTAATAGTAGTGGCTGCTGCCATTCACTGAGCATTTACTAACTACTAGTTACCAGTGTAGTCATCTCAAATGTTAGCTGTTTTAGTTATATGAAAGATACTTCACTTTGCATGAATTAAAAATGGTCAGAGGACAAGGCCACAGGGCAATGCTCCGCACCTTGTGATAACATTTATGCAGGATAAACCTATACAGAAGGAAAAGCTAAAGGTGTGTGATCAAGATAACCCTTTTCCTTTTCAACTGTGTCTAAACAACTATTGATTTTCCCATTTTGTAACTTTCTTGCAGGGATTCTAGCCAAACAAGAGGTTTAACGGGCTCATTATTCTTCTATACAGCAGCCCAAACCAGATCCACATTCCCACACGGGCACCGTCAGCTGATGCTGAGCAGAGGCATTCTCCTCAAGTACATACGTAGAATCAGTGTCCTTTTCTTTCTTCCGTATTCCAAAGGCCTTCCTTGTACGTTTTTTCAATCCTGTGGGAAAACAACAAAAGGTCAGAAAGTTTATTTTTGAATGTTCCTAGCAACATTCAAGTGAACTATTTTTAAAGTTGCAGCACATTAGTTAAATCTGAATGTTCAAAAAGCCATGAAAGTTTCATGTGTATGCATGTGTGTGTGTGCGCGTGCATGTGTATGATTCATTCTCATATTTTTCAACAGAGTTTATCAAGGACATTGCACTGTAAGCTCTTAGCACTATAAGCGATGTAAGAATATAAAAATAGGCTTCCCTGGTAGCTCAGCGGTAAAGACTCCATCTGCTAATGCAGGAGATGTGGGTTTGATCCCTGATTTGGGAAGATCCTTCATGCTGCGGTGCAACCAAGCCCGTCTGCCACAACTACTGAGCCTGTGCTCAAGAGCCCTGGAATCTCAACTACTGAAGCCCTCGCCTAGAGCCCATACACCCAACAAGAGAAGCCAGTGCAATGAGAAGCCTGTAAATTGCATTTGGAGAGTGGGCCCGGCTTGCTGCAACTAGAGAAAAGCCCACACAGCAATGAAGACCCAGTGAAGTCAAAACTGAAGAAATAAATAAAATTATTTTTTTAAAAGAATATAAATAAGTGGAAAGGAGACCAGGACCAGGTATAGAAAAGTTGGCAAGCTTTTCTTAGACTATTGTTATTCATTCGCCAAATAGGCACTCTGCCAAGAAACCCAATCACAGATTTAGAACAGTCATTTCCAGGTTAGACGTATTCTTGAGAACAGGACAGTTCCAAGACAGAACTCATGTAAACCACAGGAGAGAGCCACATTGGCCTGACACATCTTTGTATCCATATTCCCAATTCATCCTTTTCTACTTCCTCAATTTGGTGGCTTTATTGGATTCTCTGAACATACTACAACATCTGTACTCCAACATTTCTTTTTTCCTTGTTTGGTCCTTACCACTGGATGAAATGCTTTTCCTATCTTGTTGATGTTTAGAACTTCCATACATGCTTCCAAGGTCCCATCAACTTCGGCCTCCTTTGTGCGGGCCTCCTAAACCTAGTGTAGTCAGAAACCAACTATCCTGGCGGTTTCTCACATTTTGCTCTTATGTGTATTGACTCAGCAACTAAACAACAATGATGTATTATAATACAACAAATTACTCCACTTATTAGTTCCTACGTCAGTTTCCCTCATAGACTGTAAGCCTTTCTAGGACAGAGCCCAAGGATATGCTCTCTATATCCTCGGCACCAAACACAGGAACCAGATAACGCTTGTTGATTTAAGATTTAAGATGTCTTCTAAGAAGCATCATTCAGGTGCTACTGGAATAAGAAGGCTCCTCTCTTCCATCCTGGATAAACCAAGCCCAATCTTGCATCTTGCATTCTTGTCCTATCAAGGTTCCGTCTGGGGTTCCCATCTCCTCATGTCCTGTAGTTACACGTGTGGCTTGCGTTTCTCATGTTGTCTGTGTTCTCAGTCGTGTCCAACTCTTTGACCCCATGGACTGTAGCCGGTCAGACACCTCTCTCCATAGGACTTCCCCGGCAAGAATACAGGAGTGGGCTGCCATTTCCTCCTCCAGGGAATCTTCCCGACCCAGGGTTCAAACCTGCATCTCCTGCATTGCAGGTGGATTCTTTACCACTGAGCCATTGGGGAAACCAGTTTCTCATGTTAGTGAGTCTTATTCAGATATATCATTGCCTATATCTTCAAAACCTTAGACTTGTTACTGGTGCTTTGGAAATTTTCCTTCACAAATTATATCTGGAAAAGTCACTGATGTTCAGAATTTGTTTGGCACTACCAGCTGGATCTGGAGAAGAAAACGGCTCCCCAGTCCACTATTCTTCCCTGAGAATCCCATGGACAGAAGAACCTGGCAGGCCACAGTCCGTGGGGTTGCAGAGAGTCGGACACGACTGAGCGACTGCCCCTACCAGGTGGATTGGGCGTCCCGGGCGGCTCAGCGGGTAAAGAATCCACATGCAACGCAGGAGACAATCCCTGGGTTGGGAAAATCCCCTGGAGGAGGGCACGGCAACCCACTCCGGTATTCTTGCTGGAGAATCCCCATGGACAGAGGAGCCTGGCGGGCTACAGTCCTTGGGGTTGCAGACTTGAACGTGACTGAAGCGACTGAGCACACACGTATGCTCCAGGTGGATCAGAGGGAAAAACACTGACAAAATCAGAGATTTGATGTCATCTTCTAACATATATGAATCAGCCCAGACCACTTGGATGATCTGAGTCATTCATTATCTGACTCTCAAGATACTACTCAAATATAATCTCCAAATGCCTCGGTTTGTCTAATTTTGCATTTGAACAGTCATTCCATTTAAGAGGTTTAGGTCTTTAAAATGTCAATGTTTGTTTAAAAAAAAATCTCCTCCCACATTAAGCTATTCTGCATTACTCTCCACATGAGGTGTTCACAGAAAACTTACTGACATTTAAACTATCCACCCATTACATTTAGGAATACCTTCCCCTCTGTCATTTTTAATTCTGAGTGTGAGAAACTTCTCACCTCTAATTGCCTTATCTCCTTATAGGGACAAAATTATCATTTTCTTCCTATAATTTTTCTTGAGCTTTAAGTCTCTTCACTGGCTTCTCCATGCTTCTAATTCAGCTTTGGGGGTCCCAGTGTGTGCTATATTCACTGGTCATTACTGGTTTTTATAGGATTATAAAACAAATGCTATTATTATCTTATGTTTTCAAATTACTTTAGTTCCTGTAACTTGAGCATGAGATAAGAGATAGCATGTCCTACCAAACAGATGAGAAAATACAGACAAATTCCAGTAATTCTTGTATTAAATTAGTAACAGAACAGGCAATAGAAGTTTTCCATAGACTCTGTCCTGTTTTTGACCACCAAATTTGGATAATAGCCAATATGAACTAGGTCATGAATGTCATGAGTTGTCCATTTTCCAGTGAAAAGTGCTCTGGCTCAGGCTTCAGGAGACAGAGCCCATCTCCAGCAGCATTTCTAATTGTGTAGATGAATATGCGTTACATTTTTAAAAATATTTCCATCTCTCAGTTTACAACAAATCAGCCAGCAACAAGGAATGAAAGAATTTGCACATATTCACAAAATGCAATGCCATTCTGTAGTTTTAGTTTCAATGAAAGTCATATTTCCCATATGTAGAATACATTCTCATATATGGAATATATATAGAAATACACCAGAGGTGTGACATTCCAGAAAAACAAAACTAATCAAACTGCTGAATAAGAGAAAACACTGAAAACTTTTATCCCTTGAAAGGTGGAAAGATGTGAGAAATTTAGAAAACTATAAAGAAAATTCTGAAAGATGAAAAATATAAAAGTTATTCATATCTTAATAGCTCTTTGAGAAGATGCAGGAAGAAACAATCATACCAAATTAACTAAAAGTGAATGGAAAGGTGTTGTCAAGTCTTTTGAGAGTTTATTTAAAAATATTCAGAGCATGTACATGTCCACACTGCTATATTTAAGATGGCTAATCAACAAGGACCTACGATAATAGCACATGGAACTCTGCTGAATGTTATGTGGCAGCCTGGATAGGAGGGGAGTTTGAGGGAGAATGGATACATGTATATGTATGGCTGAATCCCTACCGTGTCCACTTGAAACTATCACAACACTGTTAATTGAATATACCCCAATACAAAAGAAAGTTTAAAAAAATATCCAAAGAAATTCTTCAAAACAGAACAAGGATAGTCAAAGATCTTATAGTAGTAACAAGCTTAAGACACCACATATGGTAACATAATAAGCTTAAAAAACACTATATCCAATGATTTTTTTCACTTCTGACTCCCAAACTACATGAAAGTTTTAAAGTGAATTTCTACAGTATAATTATCCTTAGGATAGGTCATGAATTTTTGTCAATTATTCTTTACCAAAAATGGAAGGGAAAAGATCAAATGTCTTTGAGAAATGAAGTAACTAACTTTTCCCTTGCCAACGTCTAAACAAAGATTTCTAAAGAGGAAGAATTTTAATGTTCTGATGATCTGAGGCTAGGACAGTCCTCTTTCAAGCTCTGGAGCTAAGAACATCCTCCCATGTGCATGCAGAACTGGGTCAGACACACAGAAGTCTGGCCTGTGCCTGCAGCATCTCTCCACCTCATTTAGATTCCTTTAGCCTCCTCTGGTATTATGGGAGAAGCTAGTAAAGTCTGGGAACTACAACAGCAAAATTTAAAAATAGACTGACTTTTAAGATGGTAGGAAAGCTTATTTCAATATAGGTAGTCCTGGATATGATGTTACAAGGTAATGAAATAGCAAAGATGCAGAAACTGACAATAGTGATAGCACAAATATATAGAGTAATATTTGTAGCTACCAAGACTGAGGTCCAACCTACAGGCTGGGTACCAGCTGCTTTGCATATGTTGACTCATTTAAATTTCTTACAAGCCTTGTGAAAAAGTAAGTATTTTCTTTGCAAATGAGGAGCCTGAGGGTTTACCTGAGTTAGGTTTTATTTATCATCATCTCTAGGGGTGGGTATTGGAGGTTCTTTACCCACGGATCCCCAGAGTTCTGCTGGACCATGTCCTAATTGTCTTTACATCTGCTCCTTGGGGGGCAGTTTCATTCATTGATCATTCATGGTTTCATTTTCCATCTATAAGTAGATGAATCCTAAATCCTAAATCCGTAGGTCAGACCCAGTACTACTTCCCGAGCTTCTGGATATACAGTACTTTTTATCATACACAAGCTTCTACAAATAGGCATCATATTTCTTTGAAAGCCTTTAGATGCCACCTTATACATATGTAATCAAACCTTTAAAGGCATGTCTAATCATTTACAAGTATTTTCTGAATAAATCCCCCTTAAAATGAAACAGTTCTCCATGAACAAATGAATTTTAAAAAAATGTGGTGTACCCATACAATGTAATATTATTTAAAGGAATGCAGTACTGATACATGCAACAACATGCATGAACCTTGAAAACATTATGCTAAATGAAAGAAG